CAGAGTGCATGGGTAGATTTCGCCGTTTTGTTGCTGTAGCAGCACACTATCCCCACGGAGCCTGCCACTACAGCAACGTAACTGGCAATCATATGTAGATACATGTGATCACTATATTGCCACAGCACACCGTACGGTGACGTAATGCATTGCTATGTCGGCATTGGGTGATGTGTAGATGTGCCCTCCGACTGCCTCTTTCGTACCCACTAGCTACCCCACCCACTCCTAACCCTGGATTCCTTACGAATCTTCACTTTTGCCTCTTCTCTAGAACACCTTCATTACCTTCACATTTTACCTTAAAGTTCAAGTATTTTCAAGCAATTATGTAAAGACGCTATTTAAAGGTATATAAATTGATTATATCCCAATGATTCTGTAACAGGTCTGAGAAAATATCTTAAAGAGTACATATTATAGCAAGGGGTAAGTGAGTTTTAATACTGAGCAGTAGAACAACACTTTACCTTTTAAATTTATCTCTTTTGTCCTTCAACTCCTCTATTTCATTGTGTGTAAACAGATCAGCAATACGTGTAACAAGGTTAGCATTGATACAGTTCATGTTGCATGGAGTTGCTACAATAGCATTCATATTTTTATGGCAATAAAGAATACATTTTTCTACCTGGGAGGAACAGAACGGATAAAGTGACAATTAAAACAGTCATACATAAGCTTGTATCTGATATCTTCATGTTAATATTAGAAATTTATTCATAATAGGATTTAGGTAATTTTTAGTGTTAGAGTTACTTTGCAAGACTGGTTTAACTCATATCTAAAAATACAATGTAATGGCTCAGAAAGCAAGTTACAGTTTGTCCACATACCCCAAATGCAACTCTGATTTAATTTGCACTGTCAATCTTGAAAGTTTTTATAGCCTGAAATATCTCTCCTAACAGCACTATCTTCAGGAAGCTCTACCCATATATTGATGATAACCAAGAACTACAGGCTATTTCTGTTGTTAAAATTATGTGCATGCACCCAGTCTATCCTTACCAGCAAACCTCATTATTTAGTTGCAGTGGCAGTTGAAACATGAGGATGTTGCACATTCAGTTCTGAATACCTTCTTTAACTTGTTTACATGCTCTTTATCTCTACTTTAGCAGTAACCACAAATGAAAAAAGACTATGTAGCAGTGAGCCATAATGATCAAGTAATACAAGTAACAGAACAATCTGAATATGTGTATTAGCTTAATAGTTTATGCTTTTAAAACCCAAAGTGAAATGAACTGAAACTGCAGAAGTGGGGAAGAGGGAACTTTATCAACATGGAGTTATTTCTTTTCTTTTTTTCCTATGCATATCTCCAAGCAAAGTGAATGGGAATTATATGAACTTAGAAAACTGCATCCTAGAGGACAGAAACATTACTTGTGTACAACACACAGAAACACAAAAGGAAATGCATGGTTTCTGTAAGGCAGTCTTTGCCTTATAGACAATGAGATTATTTGACTGTTTGGAGCCAAATTTTAGGATTTGTGCCCCTTACCCTTACTAGTACCTTGCTCTAAAATGGTCCCACTGAAATTGATGAAACTATGCAAATAGTAAATTTGTATTTCATAAGAGCAAGGTAATTAATGAGATTTCAAATTCTTTGGGGCCTTGTAATATAAACTTCTCTGTATTTATGCAGCAGTGCATATACTTTGAATGATACAAGATTTCTGCCAAGCATTTGTTGGTAAATAGTGTTCCTATGGCACTGAATTTTTATTCTCTTTCAAATACTCACTAATGAATCCATCTTCAAAAATTCAGAAGAAATGAGAATTGAAATAACATTCCCAGGTTCTAAAAGGGAGGAGAAATATTAGAACAAGGTTTAGATTAAAACTTATTCCCTTGACTTGATAATGGAAGACACCAAAAGTCTCTTTGAAAGAGGGTATAATGTACCAAACCAGTACTTATTATTTCATTTTCCAAAATGCACCACACTCACAAACTTGAGAAGTAACATTTTATCCAACCTATTTAGATAAGACTAAACAGTTATATTCTCACACACAGAGTCATCCTGTATTATGTGCATGCACCCTATCCTTACATTCCTTAATACAGTTTAACAGAAGAATTTTAACAGTGTAAATACTGTTCCAGCTAAACCACTTGCTAACAGTCTGGGTGGTGGGCACAGATAAAACCAAACCACGTTAAACCTTGATTGAAAACTGTGCCGGACAAGGAACAAGATAGGGATTTTGTAACACTATACCAATGATGCAATGGCTATAACCATTCTCAAAATAGCTGCTATAAAGGTGTTGCTCAATATGGGACACAGTACAAACATCGGAAAAATCTGTTTGATTTTCAAGAAAACAAAACTATTCTTGAAATCAAAGAATCATGAAAAGGGCTCAAAAGAGAAATGGTAGGAAACAACTGGTAAGGGAACTAGCCTGGTCAGACTAAAAGTCTTCATGTTAACATGTGGTTTTTTTTCAAAGAATGGCTCTAACAAAGCAATGCATCATATAAGATTGGCACGTCGATGTGTGCTGGATGAAATGGTGTTTAAACATGATTACCCAACCCAAATGGAAAGGCTACTGCAACAGACTGTACCACTAGCCCCACTCCAGCAAAGCATTTAAAGCACACACTAAACTTTAAATGGGCAAATAATTCTTCACTGGGATGACGCATGCAAGAGCCAAGCAGGGACATTATTTTGCTGCAACAGTGCGCAATTCAGTGCTTCAAAATGAACTTTTCAAACGTGTTCAAGAAGCTTTAGATCTTATCTTTCACCTTTTGAACATCTCATTTAAGCCCATTAAGTTCCTCTCGCTGACTGCAAGGCTAGTAGCGTCTGACTTCCAATTAAACCCTGTAACTACAATTTTCCAAAAGCTCTTATGAGACTTAGGGCTTGCTTACATAGCTGCAGCACCTGGTCCTGGGGAAAATGTGGCTGATTTTGCCCTACCCATCACTCACTCCAGAGCTGGAACTTGAGCAGTGAGGCTACTCTGAGTTTCCCACTGACTCCTCTAAAATCTGCTGCAACTGATGACTTAAAAGTCGACAATGGGGATGTGCTCAACGCAGCCCCACCAGAGAACTTCTGGCTATGGTGCATCTCAGTGGATTTGCATAGGGCAGATATGCTTAGCCTCACGCACCCCAGAACGCACTGCTGCCATGGTATAGAAAACAGGATTTAGGTGACTATCGCATACATACTTTTTAAAATCTTGTTCACAGCTATCAAGACAATGACCGTAGGACTGCCTGATTGTGTTGCATTTGCATAGACTCTTTTTTAAGTCTCCCACTGTTGATGTAGTAACGGTGAGATCCCTAATGTAGATCAGTCACTTGAATTTTGAATCCACCATTGTCTAAACTGGTACAGAGGAGGGCTAAATGAACTTGTACAAAACAGAAGATGCCAGACCACATTAGTATTTCCACTGTTTGTCCAGGATTCATAAAGCTGAGAGCACATTCTAGAATGGCCAGAATGGACATTGTTTTGTCACCTTTTCAGCAAGCTAGTGTTTCTGACCATGGAATACTTGTCTTAAGAGACTGGAGGTGAATTAGGAAGTGTTATTACCTTCCAGACAGTACATAAGCTTTTAGTCTGAAGCACAGATCAGACACTGCAGATAATGAACCTGCGGCAAAAGAATAGTAGATTTGCTTTTACCTAAAATGGGCATTTCATACACCTCATATTCCTTAGTGTTCCTTTTAACATATCTTATCAACCAGTCAAAGATGTGAACGTCACAGTGAACTGAAATGTCCACCTCTTCCCAGCGCTGGGCATCCACTGACAGATATTCAGCAAAGTACTTCATTTCCGAAATCAAAAGGTCTCGAGGACAAATAAAATCTTCCTTCAGGTTTTTTGCTTCATCACATACGTGGATCACCATATTTGGCCTTGATTTAAAAAACAAACAAACAAAAAACGAAACCACACACATGGGGAAAAAATGCAACACACACAAGACACAAAAAACAAGATTAGGATTGGGAACCAATACGAATGTAAAAAAATAATCCATAGGGACTCCCACCCAAAATCTGAGTAATTTGTCAAAACTGTAATCTTCCTCATTTAAATCAATTAAGGATCCTGTATACCCAAGTCCTTGAAATATGTACTTTAAAAGTTAAAACTTAATTATTTAAATTTCAGTTAACTTATATTGCTTGAGACTTGTAGCGTCTTGCATTTTCTAAATACAAGCCAAGGTCATGTTCTGGGATGTATGACAAAAACCTCAGTCATAGCAGGAAGTGTAGTCTAATGGTTAAACAAAGGTATTGGGATTAATGGCTTTTGAGTACTAGCTGCAGTTTTGCCTCTGGCTCATAGGGAGATGCATAAAAAAATTACCTAAATTCTGTTCACCCTTTTTCATATTAAATGGAGGAAAATAAGTGAATACACTTGACTAAAGATGTGCTGAGAAATGTAACTAATTTATATAATACTATAGCATCTTGCATATGATGAATTTAACATTTTATGATTTACCAATATTATTTAAATTATCTGCTTCTTAATAGCAAGGTCAAGCTGACGGATAGCAAAAACCTTTCTTCAAGGAAAGAGATACCAGTATGAGTCACAAGTTTGAGATATGTACCGTGACAGGTGTCTGTAATAATTTATTCGAAAATTAACTGCACTGGCACAACACAACAGCTATTTAAATGCATGTAAATACATCCGATAAGTGGCTTGCTTGTTTGTTAGTCTATGATTTCACTTTTTTCTTTCTTTTTCTTACTTTTTAACACCAATAGAAAAACCTTACATTTACAGAATATAATGTTTAGGCTAGCAAATTTCATAACCTCACTTTATCAAGTTATAATTTATTTGAAAGTATTTTAATTTTAAATGAAGTCATTTTAACAATTACTAAACACTTATTAAAATTATTTAAATAATTAGAACATGAGTTGTCTTTCCTATGCAATGTGAAAGAACTGTGTATTCTAATAGGAGCCATGAGAATGTATTTACTTCTGTAAAGGGTTCATAATCTGGCACAAGCAACAATTAGTTTTTTGCAGTTATTGAAGCACTAAAGGTGAAGTAGGACGTTCCCAGCCCTATTTTTTCATGGAAGTATATTAATTTACATAGTTCAGACTGCCTCCAAATCAATTAAAGTAAATACACATTTATTGACAAAAACTCCATTGAGTTAATGCTTGCATAAAACCTTAGGCTGAACACAGGCCAATTAGTGTTAATAAAATGTCTCACAATTTGGTTATTTTAAAACTAAGTCACAAATAGGCCATCCCGGAATTTTTTTCAGTAATTTTCTTACCAGTGGTTTTGTACCAGGACTATTATCATCACAAATACTGGCAGTGGTAGAAGTGCTGGTAGAGACAAGGAGCAGGTACCTGACTGATGATATAATGGTAAGACATGGACAAAGGGTTATGTTGCAGAAGACATAGAAACCCCTAACTGATTTTCACTAGCATTTCTACCACTGACAGCACTAGTGGAGCTGCACAGATGACAAATGGTAGGAAAACTGCTGAAAATGTTATGTCAACAACTTTGCAGAAGTGTTTCTGTGTAAGCAGAGGATAGTATCATTGATTTTAGCTTTCCAGACAGTAAACAGTCTTCCTACCCTTGAGTTTCTTCAGTGTTTTCTCCGCCTTTATGTGCAGGATCTCTCTCAGCTTCTGACGAACAGTTTCTTGTGGAAGCTACATTGGACCTTCCTGATAAACAAGAAAAAGATGCATTAGAATTTGAGTATAAATTTAGACTCCCATACATCATTTCTAGCATTAAAAATGCATTGCTCCTTCCTGAAGTGGGGAAGCTGTCACAAGCTACGAACTTCATAAGCTAGTCAAACTGAAAATTCAAAGCAGCAATCTGGGTGCAATTACACTGGAAAAACCAAGAGAATCAAACCCTTTTAGACACAAGAGTACAGCTTTTGCTAAAGTCAAGGGTAACTGGCCTTTACCTTTGAAAGGCTTTCTTCACAAATGCATTGCATTTACAAGTTTCCCTCGATTTATGCGGGTTCTTTATATGCGAATTTGCTCTTATGCGAAGAGCATATTTAGACCCATAATTCTTTATATGCAAGGTAAATTCATGTTTATGCAATCAGCATAGATGCCTCCCTGCCCAAGCAGGTAAGGCTGTGGGGGAGGGGAAAGGGCCGTGGGCCCACTCAGCCCAACCCCAGCTTCAGTGGCTCCGGGAACAGCCGACACCAGCTGCCTACACCAGGGCATGGCGCAGCCCAGGAACAGAGGTGAGTAGGGACAGGCGGAGCATGGTGTAGCCCAGTGGCTGCAGGCAGCTGGCACCAGCTGCTCCCAGGGCTGGTGCAGCTGGGGCTGGGGTGCATGCTTCTCTGTTCCCTCTGCTTTGCTGCCTTGTGCAGCCCCAAGAGCGGCACCCCTCCCCCCACCCCTTCTCTAGTCCCAGGCTCATTCCCTCCCTCCTTCACAGCCATGGGAGCCTATATCTGTTACACTGTAAAGTGGGTTTGCTTTATGCATGTTTCATTTATGCACCATTCTCCAGGAATGCATGTACAGCATAAATCGAGGGGACCCTGTAGTAGGGTTTGGATACAAAACACAAAGCAGTCAGTAAGAATCTTTTCAAAGATTCTGGTGGGCTTTGGATGTTATCCAGCTTATATTTTTCATGGTGACGGAATGATCTATCCATCCTATTTGGAAAGGCCTCTTGAAAAGAAAACAAATCTGTAGCATTGTTATGTGGAATTTAGAGAGATCACAGTTTTATTTAAATAGTTAATGGAAGGGTTTTCCAAAAGAACATAGCACAGGGGTTGATGACCTATGGCCAGCAGATTGGATCCAGTCCACAAAACTAGGTCAGCGGAGCTTCTGTAGGAGGCCAGAATGTGACTCGGGGGCGCTTAGTGAAGGGCAGGAAGAGCAGTGGCAGCAGGGGAAGCAGAGGTAGTGCCCAAGGCTGGGTCAGAAGGTATGGCTTGTCTTCAGAGCTAGCTCCCTTCAAGTGGCCTGCTGCTCCAGAAGTTTGAGGATGCCTGCTGAAACATTCTTATAAAAGCTTCCCAGTTACACATGGAAGTTGGAATTTTATGCTAATACTGCTAATTGGCAGTTTCCTAGACAGATGAGCATGAGGCACCCCATGTATTCCAAAAGGGATGGCTGAACATTTCAGATACAAAACTTCTACAAATCTAGCTTTGATGTCTTTGAAAAGACAAAATGTTACTGGCACTAAGAAAAGCATATGCTGAGCTATAGTTTTCTATACTTTCAGATATATCCCGAAGCTTTTCCCAAACAATTATAACCATTTACAGGAGAAAAAGAAGTAAATCTGTATTAATGCATGTGGCAGGGCGCCGTGTGTGTCTACCACTTTAAGGCCCTGGAGCTGGCAGCCTCCAGGAGCCTAATGAGGGCAGCCATTTTAGGTTCAGGGCTGCCCATATAAACAAAGCAGTTTGGCTGCTAGAGGCAGGTAGCAACATTGCTTGGTCAGGGGTCTGCTGAGTTTCATCTGGAGGTAAGGGAGGTGTTGTAGGGGATGGTAGGAGGCTCCTGGTCCTGGGTATGACCTAAAACTACACCCTGCTGGGAGTGGGTGGCCTGGTGGGGCTCCCAGTGGCACAGGAGTCCCCAGGAAATGCCAGGCCAGTGATCTGCCTGGTCAGAGGCAGGCTGGGGTGCCTTAATCCCTAGCCCCCACCTCTGGGTGGGTTGTTTTCCATTGGAGGTAGTTGTGGGGGTGCAAGCCCTGAAGAAGAGAGTGAACAGTTGGAGGCCAGGTGTGGCCGAGGCTGCCTGAGCCCTGTGGGGGTTTGAGACCCTGAGCTGGAGAGCTGGGGCCAGGCACTGCCATGGCTGCCTGAGCCCCCACAAGGAGGGAAGCCCTGAGACCCTGAGTAGAAGGGGCATCGCAAGCAGTGGGAAGCCCCCAGTGGTGAGGGGGCAGTATGGGAACTGAGGGGGCAGCAATGAGAAACCCTAGTAGAAGCCCCAGTATGAGGGGCAGAGATGTGGAGCCCAGTGAAGGAAGAACTGGGGCTCAGCCAAAGACAGTGTGAGCTGAGTCCTGACCCTGATAAGCCCTCCACCACTGGGAGGCTGAGTGTGGGTCAAATATAACATCTGTGATAGCACCACGACCTACTGCCCAGGGGAGGAGTGAGTCTCCTGTGAGACCCTGAGGCGCCAGTCATGGTGTGAGGTACCCCAGCTCCCCGCATCTGTGAAGGAGGACCCAGAGAGGGGGACCCTGGGAAAAGAGTATGGGTCACACAGCAAGGCCTGCCAGAGTTTTCCCTGACTGGCCTAGGCGGAGGGCCAGGACCAGGAGGGTCAGAAGGGCAAGGAGGCCCACCGAGGGGGATGCCCAAGAGCTGGGGGCCTGGGGTCTCGACTGGCCTGCGGGTGGGCCGGGGCTAGTGTGAGCCGAAGGTTTCAGTGAGGGGACCACAACCGAAGGGGAACCGGTGGCAGGGAGATATATGGCCCAGTATGACTGCGGCAGAGTCTGCCTGAAGGGAGGAACCCAGGTGGGGTCCTACAGTAGGATTCTGGGGCCCATCGTGGGGGACTGGCGTGTATGAGAACATCATGATGTCATCTGCAAGGCTTGGGCTGTGGTATAGGGGAGGAATGGAGCCGCAGATAGCACCCCCTAGCAGCAGGGCAGAAAATGAGCAGCCTCCTGCTTATTACCAACTAATCAATCAATTAAGATCAAGGCATGGCAAGTGGTTAGCCCAAGAACAGGTGGGTGGGCTGCATGGAGATTGGCCCTGAGCAGGCCCCCTGTTGCAAAGCATTATTAATTTTACATCAAAACTTGAAAGTTCTGAGAGCAACCTTTCTTTAGCTCTATGTACCAAGTACTCCATGGCGGCTACTGGTATTTTCAGAGCTGATGAAAGACTTGCTACTGTGGGAGAGTGGCTGAACTCTCAACTTGACAGAAAAATCTCAGTCAATCCCATCGCTTTATGGATGACATTTTTTGGACTGGAATTAGTATTAGAACTCTTAAGAGGAGACCAGAATTGTTTTGACAAGAATATTCAACACACTTTTGAGACCCAATAAATTAGTTCTACTCTGAAAAGCAACTAAAAATAAGGCACTATTGTGTTGCATGTTTTTGCTCAAAGATATCTACATCTAAGCCACTAAGTTCAGAGAGGAAAGCAAAAGCTTCCCACAACTGCAGACACATCCTAGTACCTAGAATGAAAGTGTGTTTTTTCTAGCTTACACTGAAGCTACTGGGCAAAATTCTGTTACCCTGCTGCTACCTGAGTGTGTTCCAAGGGATTAAGTTTGCCTTGCAATTCAAAACTTGGTTAATAAAACTGCTCATCATACATAATCCAAAAAAGAATCCAGCTCACAATGAACTGTCTGTGCAGAAGTGAGTACTATTTTAAAATCTGATATATTTTTTTCCTACTACTCTGTCTAAACTAAAACAGATGAGAATTAATACATTAGGATATAAAGCTGCTGAATAAAAGACTACATACTGATGGAGTGGCTTTTCAGTTAGTCTTATTTCTGTAACTTCCAATCACCTCAAATATTTATTCACTTCACATGTGTAATTGTTGCCTGAAAAGGCACCACAGTTAAGTGACTTGCCCAAGGTCACAAGGGAAGTCTGTTGCAAGCTGAAAATAGAACACAGCTTCCTAAATTTCCGGGCGGGGAGGGGGGAGTGCATTTTCATAAGTAGAGTCAGAATGGCTACTGCTACAGAATAACTTATCCTGTTATTTTTTAGCTTCAAGTGTGCATTCAATTAAGTGTACATGCAGAACTTGCGCACATAGCTCTAACCTTAAAGGAGCATTTTCACTGTAGATACTCAGTAAGCAACCTTCAAACAGTTACGTTTTGGCTAAGTTTGTAAAAACATTTTAAAATTAATAGAATGCGTATTCAGGATATCTGTTTCAGGTTTTAGACTTCAATTGTTTCCACTGTAGCAGCTTTTGGACAAAGACAGAAAAGCTATTTTTAACTCAAAAGGAAAATGTTTCAAACAGATGAAAGTCACTGAAAGACGGCATAATGGAAAAGTTTTGCAAAATTAAACATTGCTACTAGCATCTAAAATGGTAATGTATGAATCATGTTCTCACTGCTGAAGGACTGCAACCCTCTAGGGTAATACAACTGTCAAGTTTCATAAGGTAAAACAAAAATATTTGATAATTAAGGTCAAGAGGTTAAGTAGTACACGATCGCTCAGGGCTGTCCAACTTGGGAGTGGCCAGGGGCTGCACACCCTATGGGACACAGCCAGGGCTGTATGCCACGTGAGCTGCATCAGGGTGAGCCATGGTCCCCTGGGCTGCACACCCCAGAGATGTCCCTCCGCTGCATCACATATCCATGACCCCCCACCTCGTACTACCTCCCTATGACCCCTCCCCACTCCTGCACTGCACACCCAAAATCCTCTGCTGCATTGTGCATTCACTCCCCATACAACCGCCCACTGCACTGTGTACCTGAGATTTCCTCTGCTGCATAGCATGCCCTACACTCACCCTCACCCAACTATGCTGCCATGCCACCCTGCTCCTTGCTTCTGGCAGCAGCTGGAAGAGGTTGGGAGAGCCTGAAAAGTCCAGCTGCTGTTGCAACCAAAGCAAAGTGGGGAGCAGCAGCCTGAAAGGGTGATGGCAAAAATTTAACCCCTCATATGGTTCATGAGCTGCCAATTAGACACCCCTGCAATAGCTAACTGAAAAACCTGGAGGCAAGAATATAATTACCAATGTTAAATTTGGATCACGACACTATAGCTAATTGACATTTTGGAAAAGTTTAACACCCTTTAAGATTTACAGTTGGTCAAAACCTTTGTGAGATCATCAGAAAGAACACCTCTGATGCCAAGCTAAATACTAGGGGCATGGCCTAATTCCTTCTAGAGTGAGTGCAAGCATTCTTTCCATCAGCTACAAATAGGAGGTGGATTTGGCTTTTAATCGGGAGAGAAGTTTGTGATTTAAGAAATCAAACTAAGTTTATGCTGTTTGCTTTTACTTCAGAGATTTTCTTTCCAGATACTTACATGTCCTAGGACCACAGCTTGAAATGGTTGCAATGTTTGTCGGTTTTGACATAAAAATATCTGAAGCTACAAAACTGTAAAAAGATTTTTTTGACATTATAGAAAGATTTTACTTAAATCTGAATATATTGTGTCATTTTAAAAACACAAATTTATAAAACTATTTGCATATGAAACATTAAAGGCATTGACTATTTTAAATAAAGTGGTTTAATTTATACAGGAGTAATTATGTTCAACTTTGCTCTTTTGAAGCTTGTTACCTACTAATGGTGATCATTACAAAAAATATATAATGATACACCTAACATTAGAGTCAGCATCATAGGATTTACTGAAAAACATACCAGTAATAGAAATTGAATTTTTCCCAATGGGAGGCTCTTGGAAATCTCCCTGCAGGTCAAGCAGTGAGGATTTGATGTATGTAGCTAGGGTTTCAACAGGACTCCCTGCAGTAGCCATGTACTGGTTGTCAACAGGTGAACTTCCACTGCTTTTTAGCTCATCAAACCTCTTTGCACACTGTCAAAGGATAAAATGAGGCAGATATTATTAGTAAGAGTTTCTAATACTTAAAACTGCATCATCTAAGTATCAAAAGACTGATTTTTTTTTCCCCCAAATAAAATGCCACTCAAATTGAATGATGAAAGAAAACTGGAAGCTTTTACTTGGGTTTTATTCATTTTGTTTTAATATGTCACAATTTTAATTTTTTTCTATGAATGATCTCAAATTTGGATCTAACCTATCAGACACAGATTTCAACATTTGTAGGAACAAGGCCCTTACCAACATTTATACAGGATTAACTTTACATACAAAGGTTGTCTTGAGGAGTTCAACAACCTGACAACAACTCTCAAATTCACATGTGTTTTGGGAGATGGTACAAGAGCTCTGCTAAAGCCTAATGGATTCACTAGTCACATGAGGTCATACAACCAAATCCATTCTGGCAACAATTCTACGCATCAGAGCTGTTTTGGTGTAACACACTGTGATCAGACTTCTAGTTGGGATAAGCTTTTGCTGGGCAAAAGTTCCAACTAGGCTTGAACTCCCAATCATTTTGTGCTCTGCATACAGATATGGAAATGTACCATTCTTTACTATACACGGGCTTTACTCCATAGTAAAAGTACAGGGGAAAGAGGGTTGCCAACTCAATAATTTTTTTATTTTTTTTTAACTGACCATTTTTAAACTTTTTACTGACAGCCGAATTTTTTTATTGATATATTTAACATTATATAAAACATACCAGTAAAATGCAACTTCTGCCAGGTCTTGCCCTGCTGCCAGGACCCAGTTAGAAGGACTGGGTTCAAATGTACAGGGTTAATATCAATCATAGTAAAAAAGTTTGACTGTTAGTAAAAAGTTTGCAGTAAAAACAAACAAGTTTCTTGGGTTGGCAATCCTGCTTGACTGCAGTGATGGTTTTACACTGAGTTTCTCCCCCCGTCCCCCACCAGGGACCCCATACTCACTCCTACACCCTCATGTTCCCAACTACACCTTACTGTCCTGCCCAGCCTTACCCCTGCCCCAATCTGGCATGGACCCCCACAAAGAAGCTTACCTGAAACCCAGCAGTATTATAGCCAGCTTGGGACAGCAGCACAGGTGCTTGTACACATGATGGTTGTCACTATATACATGTGACAAAAAATGTCATTTGTGCGGCTTAATGGCATCACACATTATACGTGCACCAGTTTGGGGGGTTTAGATGAGCTTGCATTGTTACAAACTAAACTATATTCAGATGCAATTTAGTTTGCACTGTTGCAAATTGCAACAATGCAGCTGTCAGTTCACCCTCCCACCCTGGCCATGGGAGAGGCAGGCAGTAGAGCTGTGTGAAGCTCTGGTCGCTGATTCAATTCAGCGGAGATTCAGCCCGATTCGATGGCTGAATCGCCAAATCTGAATTGAATCAGGATACCCCTTAATCTCTCTGAATCGAATCAGAACCCTCAAAATTGATTTGGGAGAGATTCAGTGATTTGGACATAGACACAGTTTTAAATGTTTTTTTCTATATACCTTAAGGTATCAGGTGGCTTGTCAATGCTGAGATGCTGGGGCGGATGGAGCATCCCACAGGAGCGCAGGGGGGTCCCCAGTGTGCTGAGTGGTGGACCCGGAAGTGGACCAGAAGCACATCCAGTCTACTTCCAGGTCTGCCACAGAGCGTGGGGGGGACCCCCTCACCCCCCCCAGCTCAGTGACTGGTGTTTCCTGGGTCTGGGGAGGCACCAAGGGTCCCCCCGCAGCTGATTACTGAGCTGGGGGAGCACGGGGGGGACCGCCACCTAGTATGCTCCATCCGCCCCACTGTCACAGCATTCACAAGCTGCGCCTGGTACCTTGAGGTACGTAAAAAAACATTTTAAGCTGTCTCTATGGCTTAATCGCTGATTGAGAATCAGCATCAAATCTTCAGATTCGGATTCAGCTGAATGAAATCAGGACAGTGATCCAAATCGCTGAATCGAAGCACTGTCCCCAATTCAGGCTGAATCTGAATTGAATACGGCCCATTTCAGACATCCCTAGCAGGCAGGTTCCACAAAGAAAAAAGGTTGGGCCCCTCTCCACTTCAAAGTGACAAGAGGTCCAATCTTTTTTTCTTTTTTCTGAAAGAGCCTGCCCCACCTCTCCCACAGCTGGGGGGGATGGGGGTGGGGGTAAGCTGCCAGTAGGCTCCGGTGCTTCCCTCTGAGGTGGTGGCACCCCCGGGGCCACTCAAGCAGGCTGCTAGCAGGCTGGGCGCTGCCCCAGCTCGGAGGCAGCACCTGGCTCGATCAAACTGCTCCTGAAGCCCACCGGCTGCTGCTCCCTGGGTGGGCTTAGGGAACACTTGGATCAGGCTGGGTGCTGCCTCTGAGCTGGAACAGCACCTGGCCTGCTGGCAGCCTGCCCAGGTGGCCCCAGAGGGCACTGCCACTGAGGAGGGAAAAACTGCGCCCCCCCCAACCCTCCCTTGCAGCTCAGGGACCACTTGGTCCACTGGCTGCTCAACCCCCGAGTTGTGAGCAGGCTTCGGCTCAAAAATAAATAAATAAATATATAAATAAAATTGGGCCCCTTGGTATAACATGATAGAAAAACTGAAACTGGGTTTCAATTAAAAACCCACTATTTCAATTAAGGGGGGCATAGAATAAGGCCCCAAGGACTAAACCCCCATCACATGTACAAGCGCTCCACATGGCTAAGAGAATGCTCCCTGCAGCGAGTGGGCTGCACTCCTGCTTAGACACCAGGTGGCACTGCTGTGTACTGTCTGTCAGAGCTTCAATCAAGCTTTGGCTGCTTAGTGTTTTTACTGGTGGCTAAATTTTTTTATGGACTTTACTGATATCCATTTTAGTCTGATTTTTTTTTTTTACTGACACTCGGTAAATTTACTGACAGCTTGTAACCCTGGGTAGACACATGAAACAGCCTTACACTGGTGTAAGTCATTCCACTCTGCAGCAAAGTGAAGGCTCAAAAAATAAGGAGTAACTAACTACACATTTGTATACCAGTTGAGTGTCAGCTCCACTAGTCAGTTTCATCCCCAAGTAAGATTTATAGACTACAAACTGGCTCCCTTGCCATCTAGTGGCCAGCTGCTATAAGGCCATTGGGAAAGCTGGTTGTACATCTGTGCCTTACTATGGAGAAAAATCCAGGGTAAATTACTCTGATTATTTTGTCTTGTATCTGTATCCATGATTTTATAGCAATGTTTATTAGCTATGCTATATTTGTGAGCCACCACATTCGATTAAGGAGTTAATAAAAAAAGTGAAGTCTGTTTGCTTCTTTTTCCAGCTACTGTGAGTCACAGAAACACAAGTGTAAGATACAGTGTAAGACCTTTTTATTTAAGCAGGCTTTTAGCAGGCAGGGTGAAGCTGTGGTTGTTCTTTGGAGAACAGTTTTATTATTGTTTTATTACTTTACCTACTTATATGAGCTTTGTTTTCGTAAATTGCCCTGAGCCTTTTGGAGATGGCAGCATAGAAATCAAATCTTTTCTTGCCTCAAAAATTGTTTTGTTTTGTTGTCGTTTAAAGAAAACAGGTACACACAAGCTATCAGTTTAGAATGAAGTCATCATTGAACTATTTTTTAAGTTCACGTAGCTTTATAAAACTATACTCCTGTTGTCTCTTCCTTAACCTAATAAAATGTACTTCTCTTGATAAAGCATTCTTTAAGCAGACAGACTAGGTTAAAAAACAAAAGTTACCTCTTTGGATGTAATTCCTGGAACTAGCCTTGCCACACTGTCCCAGTTGATAGGCTGAGGTACCCCAATTAAGGAATAGAGGATCATGTCCAAAACCATTTTATTATTATCATATGGAAAATTATTGTTTTCTGAATATCCGCGACTCATTTTTTGCTGCTAAAACCTAGGAGGGAAAATATTAAATATTTATGTGCGCTTTAAATGCTCATACTTCATAGCAAAAATTGCACAATTAATTACAGTTCAATATATATTAATTCCAGTGCTGTAAGAATGTACTATGAAAATGACTGCTACAGTATTGAAATCAAGCATTATACTACTGCTTGATAAATCTGAAGTTTAAACATTTTTGTCCCTAGATTCTATCAGATAGGACATTTCAAAATGAAGTGTCTCAGTACAGATTTTTAGTCTGATCTCTCATTATTAGAATTAGTCATCATAAAACAACAACAACAATCTAGTTTGGTTTAGGATTTTTTTAAACGCCACATCCAATTATAGCTCTACTTTAGAACTGAGATTTTAGACGTGTTAAGGAATCTAAAAAATAAGCAGATATCAGGAAGTTATTCTGAGCATATTGCAATGAGTCAGTGCAGTCTGGCATCTCAGTCTAGCAGGACAAAACTATTCCTTAGTAGAGATCCAACCTAAAGTGTTGCTTAATCATTTTCCTTCCCTTGAAGTATGAATCAGTGACTGCAGCATATGCAAGACATCTCAGAAAAAACAGCAAGAGGGCAGGCACCCTTAATCCTAAATCCAAATTTAAAGAAATGCAGTTGATTCCTTGGCAAAGTAAAAAGCAAAAATATGAATATAGCCAACTGCCCATCAAGAATGACAGATTTCAAAGGAGCGTTTACATGGCCCCCCTTGCCCCCACTCATGCATAGGAGCTGGCCATTTAAAGACTCCCTCCACTGAAGCCTCCTCCTCCAGTGCGGGGCTCCCTCCCCCGCCTGCTTCCTCCCCTAAGCAGCAGGGCTTCTCCCACCACCATACCCCTCTTCCCCGCTCCCCTCCTTCCCCACCACCTCCCCGTCCCTGCCGGCTGTTGGTAATAAAAGTTGTGGGGTGCATGTGTACACTGCCGGGGGGGAGGGGAAGAGTAGGGGCAGGTATGCATGCATCAGACATGCTGCCTGCTGGGCACCGGGGGGGGGGGGGGGGGGGGGCGCGCCACCACTGTGACCCCCACTGTTTGTTTCCCTCTGCCCTGCGCCCGTCTCGGCCCATGCCAGCACAGCCAGTCATTGCCCTCTTGGCAGCACAGGCACAGTTGACAAAGAGTGTTGCGGACAGACAGACACACAGACAGACTCACAGACAGACTAAGCCCTTTATATACTTAGAATTGGCAAGACATTTATTTTTCTGAATAGGTAGTCAATAGGAAAAGGCAGGACTTGGGGTTTCACGTACTTACTCTACCAATTATAATAGATACCCTCAGCCAAACAGTGTGTCATGATGACAGCTGGTACACAGGGGGTGCATCTACATGTACGCCCAGCTGCGCAATAACAGCTATGTACTCCATTGATTTTGTTTCAGGTATGTCATCACACATTAAATTTTTTAGAAGTTTTTACTGGTTAAAATATGAACAACATAACTGAAGGTGAGTGGTTTGTGGGGAAAGGAGCTTACTGAGAGTATGCACTTAAACAGAACCAAACTAGAATAAATTTTAAACTTGGAGTAGTCATCAGAAGAAAACCATTTAGAGGGAAGATTATATTTTAGGTTCAGTAGATGCTTTACTTTGAAAGGCAGGAGCTTAAATGGATCAATGTGATGCTTTAATAATTCTCTCTAAATGAAAGCAATAGCAAAAACCAAAACAAAAAACTGCCAAATTGACAGCAAGTGCCAGCTGTGATGGCACCTTTGTGACAAAGACATTTCTTCATTAGGGAAGGGATGGGAACCAATATTAATTTGTGTGTGATAAATGTTCAGCAGTCAAATGGTAGTTACGAAAGGGATGACAAGACCAGATCTGAACCAATGAAAAAGGTGGAGCCTGCCTTTTATGCTATATCTACTCTGTCCTTTACCGGTGGTTGAAGGGCAGTGGCATAAATGAGTGTGAATTAATAGATTTATCCTCTAAAAGAAAAAACAAGAAAACAACCAAAATGTGTTTTATACCATAAGCTTAATAAAAATATATTCACTATTACTATAATATCCCCACAAAAGTTATTTCTATGGTATGTCTATACTATATACTCAAGTACAGAAATAGAGGGCAAGTAGTTATTTTCCATTTATAGGAATCGTGTAATTTAATGGAACTGAAACTACAATGGTCTTAAATATTGTACTAGTAACAAACGTACAAATCAGTATTTCACAGATTGTGAAACAACTCAGCAGCACAAAGATGACTGGTACTCTAAAATGCGGTGACATTTCCAGAGAGGCATGAAGCCTTTGTCTGTCAAATCCATACTTTCCTATTTTAGTATTTACTGGAGCCTTGATCTGGCTGCTAATGCATATCATACAGGTTTCTTCATTACAAAATACCTAGAAACTAGAGCCTTATCCACACACACATTAAACAGCATAAGCAATGACAGAGTAGATGTCAATATGGGGATGGCAGAATGAATTAGATCAATAAGGCCCCACCTTTTCCCCCTCCTCAGGTCAGATGGATGGTGCTCAGTCCGTTTGTGGGCCAGATCTGCTGGTGAGGTGAGGCCCAATCCAACCATGGGCAGAGGGGGCAGATCAGAGAGCAGCCCAGCCCCCAACCAGCTGTTGGGGGTGGGGGGAGGCAGTATTACTTGCCATTGCTCCCCAGCCACCAAATTTCCCAACCCATGGGAAGCGCTGTGGGCCAGATGCTGTGGCTCCGCAGGCTGCTTAAGGCCCCTGGGGCAGACACTGAGCACCCCTGGATTAGACCAACCTCCCACATCCTTCTTTCTCTGTCATATGACACTGACCTACCTGGCCCCGCAGAAAACACATCATCACACAACCAAATAAATACACCTACTTAAATATAAATACGCAGTTATCAAATACAAGCGCATACTGCTTTCTGAACTAAAGCCTCATTGTTTCCATATAAATGCAGCCCAGTATCATTCCCAGGAGACAAAGGAGGAAGCTTGCATATCATATGTAGGCAGGATCATAAGAAGTCTCATTCTTTACTTCCTATACTAGGAGTGGCATCATGGTCACCATTGTGCGGTAGCTTCGGACAGGACAACCAACACCGTTGTGCCCCCCTTCAACAAATCCTGCAAAAACCACAGGACAAGCCGCATCCAGAGCTACCCCCTTGGCAAGCACCAGGGTCCAATGCAAGAACTGTGAGATGGACCAGGCCTGTAATGAGCACCGTGCCTTTCTAACCATGACACTGCACCTTCAGCTCTGCCCACTCCACAGGGTGGCCGATTGAAAAGAAAATTAAAGCAAACAAAGCCTATCCCTGAGATAATGCCAGCAGGGTGCAACAATTCAAAGTAATAACACCAACTATAATAATAATAACAATAGCATCAATAATAATAGACTAAGAAGCCATGAGGTGCAACCAGCAGGCAGAGAAAGAGGATGGTGGCATGCAAGCATCCCCAGCCGAACGGGCAAGATCCCAGATTCAAACCTCACCCCCTTTTATTTATTTTTTTGTATTCTGGACTATTTCAGACAATTCAGTCTAAACAAACAAGGGAGGTGGCCGTGTCAGCCACCCCACCCCAAAGCTTTGCATTTAGATGTACCCAGAGAGAAACCCGAAGCGGGGCTCAAGGGAGGGGCACCTGGGTTTGCATGGGCGCTGCCTTCTGCTGGACCCCCAGCCCCTACGGCACCTCGCCAGGGCAGGGCAGGGCAGGGCAGAGGGGCCCGCCATGCCCCGCCTCAGGGCACACAGCACAGCTGGTGGCACCTGCCCCACCCCCCGGGGAGTCAAGCCCCAGATGCGGCGGGAACTCCGGCGGCGGTTACCTGCGAGCGGGCGGCAGCGGGGACGACGTGCGGGAGCGGAGTGGCCGCTGCAGCGCGCTGGGCCCCCACCGCACCGTCACCCGCCCCCTCCACGCCGCAGGAAGCCGCGGCCCCTCCCCCCACCTGCTGTGCAGCTCGCGCCGGCAGCAAGCAGCAGCCTCGCGCCACCCCGCCGGGAGGGGTGGGGGACAGCTCGCGGAGCCAGGGAGGGAGGGCGGAGGGACCGTTAGCCAATCAGCGCGCCGCCTCGCAGCAGGCCCCGCCTCCTCTGGTAGAGGAGAGCCAATGCGGCGGGGCCAAATGGGAGGGGCGGGGCAGGGGGGGTGAGCGCCAGTCCCCGGTCCTCCCGCCTTGTCGCAGTGCAGCTGCAGCTCCAGCCCCGCGGCGTCCCGGCTCCTAGCAACGAGCGCTGAGGAGGCGCCATGTCGGGGCGGGAGACCGGGGAGAGGCCGGAGTCAGTCTCCTCACCCGCCCCGAGACGTCACCCTGTGCCCTGGGGTGACGTCACCCTGTGCCCCGGGGTGGTGTCACCCATCAGCCGCCTCCCCGTGACGTCGCTCCGCTGGCCTCATCGCCACGTGACATCAAAGAAAGTGAACGAGCTCATTACTTGCCCCACGTAACGTTGCGTCATCAGGTTGCCCCACAACCACAACTCATCATGACGCTACCCCTTGCAGCCCATCTGAACCCCGGTGTGACGCCTCGGGTCTCTGCCCCACCCCACCCCACAATGCAGGGGTGTCAGCCCCATGACGTCACCAGCAGCCCTCCGCCTGAGGTCACTGCAGCCACCTCCAACAGGGCTTGAGGCTAAGTCCCCTCACCTCTTGGCATGATGTAGCCTAGCTCCCTCTATGCCCACAAGCCAGCCCTACGGCCCTGACCCTTTACCCTGCACCTCCCTACACTGCTTGTGCCATGCCACTTCAGCAGTCCTCCCAGCAGAGGCGTATTAAGATTTATTGCAGCCCTTGGCAAATAGAAAATTGGAGGCCCCCACTGGGCAAGGGCAGGTCCCCTCTGCGCCTGCCAAGGGGCTGCAGCCAGCCCTGCCCGGCCTCCTTGGCACATCCACAGCAAGCCAGAGGGCATGAGTGTTACTGAGGTGAAGGCGGCCCCGGCCCCATCCTGGCCCCTCCATGCAGCAGGTGTTGTGCAGCTAAGGCTGTAATCCCCCAGTGCTGCAAGAGAGGCTAGGGCTGGGGCAGCTTGGGAGCATAAGGTCCACCCCCGGTTGCCCACCGCCCCTCTGCTGGCCCTTGGCTGGGTGAGACAGGGCTGTCCCATCCTGTTCCAACAGTGCTGGTGCCAATGACTGCCTACAGACAGCAGGGAGCAGAAGCAGAGCCTCCCATGAGGCCTCTTGGCAGCAGCCGGCCCAGGGAAGCCGCCACTGCCTGCAGGGAGCCCCATGCCTGCCCCTAGCCCCTAGCCCTGGCCCTGACCCTGGCTTGGCCAGCTGGGAGGAGGCACATGCTGCCTGTCCTGGATGACCACAGCCAAGGTGCCCGCCTGGACTGTGCTGCCCCTGGTGCCCCAGTGGACCCCTGATACATTAATCCACCCCTGCCTCCCAGGGCCTGTTTGTGCCATTTGAGGACTTCTTTGACACCCTAACACAGGGGGAAATTCTTAGCCATTTCATTCAACAGGGAAAGGGATTCAAGCTGAGGACACCTGTGGGTCACAATGGGGAACTGTGAATGCTGTGTATGGGCCACTTGTGTGGTACAAAACATGATTTTTGTCTGCTGTGACCTTTGTAGTAGTAAGTTTGCTGTTCCAACAGCCTGTGAAGTATCTGTCTCCATAAGCAACGAATGGAGGGTGAGGGGCATGTGCCCCCCTGAGACTGGCGCTGGCTGAGGAATGGGGGTGCTGAGAAAAACTCTGGTAGCACTTCTGGTTTTGCTGCTGGCACTTCCGGGGTTGGCGATTGGCTGCTGGGGGACCTTCCTCACCTGGTCAGTGATCTGCCGCTGGTGCCCCCCCCCAGAGTCTGTCTCAGTACCTGCATAGTCCAGGTGAAAAAATGTTTCCAATTACTGTGTGATTGTGTTCCTGGCCTCTACATCTGGTTTTCTGTTGTGTGTTAGAACCTCAGGTCCCCTCTACACTTGCAGGTAAAGGTGTGATGGGATTGCGGGTTAGATCCCATTGTACCTTACTGCCAGTGCAGGGGGAACCTGATCCTGGGCTCCCCCTGCACTGCCACCAACCAAGCTCCCACAGCTGGGAGCCGCTTCATTTGAGGGGCTCCCAGAAGCCAGGGTTCCCCATGAATTCCCAGAGCTGGGGAATCATGGCAGCCATTATCTTTTAGCCTCAGGGGTGCATGAAGCTTCCAGGCTCTCAGGATCAAGGTAGCTACAATCCCCAGGGCTCACGGGTGCATGAAGTGACAATTTGTTTCTTGGTGACATAAGCAGTAACTTGTATGATGAATTCTAATATTATGGGAGTTTTCTTATAGAGGATTACAAAACAGGATTATCCTATTATTGGAACTAAAAAAGGTGATCATTTTTATTTTTACATGAAACCAAAAAAATAAAACAATAGTAATTGATCCATTATTATTAATCAAGTATTCTTCCAATTCTGCCTATAATTCTGTATATGTAAAGGGCTTAGTTCATCTGTGTGTCTTTGTGTCTCTCTGTAATGTTCTTGGGGGGCACAGCTCCCAGTGGGGTGTGGCTCCAGCAAGTGCTGTGTGTGGGGTGAATTGCCCATCAAGAATGGCAGTGGGGACAAAGCGCTGCCATGATGGTGGGGGCAGAGGGGTAGGAGCGGGGGGTGGTTAGGGTCTGGGGCCGAACGTGGAGCAGGGTGGGAAATGACGGAAGGGACAGAGCACTGCCATGATGGAGGAGATGGAGGGGATGGAGCAGGGGGCAAGGCCAGCACCACTAGCCTCACCCCTGCCTGGCCCTGCTCCTAGGAGTAGGTGGCAGTGTGGGGTGATGGCAGTGCGGCGCTGGCCTCACCCCCTGCCTCCGTCCCCACCATCATTCTTGATGGGCAGCTTGCTAGTGATGAAGATAATTGTTTAAAATACACATATGACATTCCAATAGCTCTTTCAGTTTTTCGAAGAAAGCATGTTTTCACTGCAAAACCAGAAATTCCTATGATGGGGCTTTGAATTAAGATCTGTTTATATACACCTAGCAGTAATTTGTTTTACCTCTGTTGCTAGATACTGCAAACAGATTTTAATCCACCTCTTAAAAAGTTGCCCAGCGCTTTCCACTATGAGAACCTGTTTTCAGATGCTTATACTTTTGTTAAACTTTTACCCAGTAGAGCTAAAATTTCACTTGTTAGCTGTTTTCCTCAAGCTGTATTTTTGGGGAGTTTTCAGGAGAAAAAAGCATTTCCAATAGGATGATTACAGACATATCTTATAATGTTTAAAATAACATTTTAACAACTGTTTCACTGAGAAATTAAAACACTTGACATTTGTCAAAGGGGGTTGCTTTTGGGTCAGGGATTTGGCATTTGCCATCACCAAAAATTTGCTGACATTCGGCCAATTTATTAGCCTTTGAAAAACAAGTTCCTATGTGTTCAACAGAGACTTGTTAGGAATTGTCAGCTAAATTCATGAAAGGCTTTGTTTATGCTGGACATGCCTCAGCCCAGGCCAGCACTGGCTAAACAGACCTTGTCCGGTATTTGCTCTTGCTTCCTGATTCCATTGGAGTATCAGAAGAGAGAGGCCTTTCTTGTCCTGTTAGCGCCCCCCTTGCTGGTAGCTTGGCAGTCTGGTGAAGGAAACCACTTGATTGCAAAGCAAGGGGGCAGGAACCAAACTGAAAAGATGGGGACTGTGGAGAAACGGAAAAAACTGGAAGCCTGGAAAGGAAGATTGGGATAAGGTGATAAGGGAGAAGAGTTTGGAGAAAGGAACACTGGTACTGTCAATGCAAAGAGATTGAAAATGGGAGTCAAGAAGGGAAATAGAGGTAAAGATTGCATTTAAGAGCCGATGGAAATCAGAAGTCAAATAAAGCACTGATGGGAATGTAGGGAATACTGGGACTAACTGTGCAAGGAACCTAGCCAAGGAAAATGGACTAGAAGCTGGGGTGGAGAAAGTTGAGATCTGGATTTGGAGTTTGAGTGTGAAAATTTGGCCTGGGATAAGAAGCCAGAGAGTTGCAGAAGAGGACAGGACTAGGAAAATAATCAGAGTAGGGAGAATGGGAAATGAAGTCTATGACCACTAGAGAATGTTCCTTTCTAGCACCTAAAGTGGAATTCAAGATTCCTGAATCTTAGCTTTCTTCTGTAAAGCTCACTGGCAATGTATACATCTCATCGGTCTCAATGACTGATCTGCAAGGCAACCTACTATTGCTGTGTTATTCTCTTAGTTCAAGTGGGAATGGTTTGTGTTATGGCTCTAATGGCTTCAGCTGTGCAGATGATGTATTTGGGTGTTCATATCATGCCATATATAAGAATTTCTGATTTTTTTTTCAGTTTGCATTGGTTAAGTCCTATGAAATCATCACACACACACAAAGAACACCAAGGTTGCAAAGACAACCTGAGAGTTTGGACTATGCAAGAACTAAGACTGCCTTTGCAACCTTGATTTGTTCCTCCTTGTGTGCATGGATTAGGATACAGCCTTAATTACATGAGCACATTGTTTTTTTTCCATTGGTCCCTGCCTCATTCAATGCACAATATGTACTATGCTTTGGGCATGAATCAGGATTCTGTTCTGTACTGTTCAATGCTACGAAACCTCTGCTTCCTTTCTTGTAGAAATCAGATGTATAACAGGGTTAGGGAACTGCGGGAATAAAATAATAATCCTTGATTTAAGGCATCTGAATGTTCCCTTGGGGAACTGGATTTGATTCTGGCCTCTGCCAGAGTTCCTAATCATGAATATATTATATGTGATACAATGCTAAATACTTTGAAAATTAGGATTTGGATGTTACATTGGACATCCACATTTCTGAATTTAATTTTTCTATTCCTTAGTGTCTCATCTGTACAATGGGTTTAATAATACCTACATTTTCATCTCATATGAGTATTGTGAAGATAAAATTATGGCTTTTAAAGCATTCAGATACTGTAGTGAGAAGGGCCATAGGAAAGTTCATGAAGAAAGAAATAATTATTTTTTTAGAGCTACCTTTGAAGAGTGTCAATAAATAAGGCATGTGATCACACCCTGAATAATGTGAATAAAACAAAAATATTAAATGAATGCTTATTCAGAGATCTTATTGGTCAACCAGAATGCTGACAGAAGTAGTGGTCAAAACAGTGCCTGGTCAAATATAATTAAATACTGCAGCATAATTAATGCGTAAGGACTACTACTGACTTTTCCTGAGTTCTTGCCTTGGCAACCTCAGCATTCTTTAAGCATATTTTTGTGTGCAGTTATAACCACAAGAACAAGGGCATCTTCTTTGAAAGCAGTATTACTCCTAAACCTTTGCTATGCAGGAACATACCACATTGTTTCATAGTTTCACAGTAGCTAGGGTCAGGAATGACCTGAGCAGATCATCTAGCCCGACCCCCTGCCACAGGCAGGAATGAATGCTGGGTTCACAAGACCCCAGACAGGTGATCATCTAACCTCTTTTTGAATTTGCCCAAGGTAGGGGCGAGGACCACTTCCCTAAGAAGTTGGTTCCAAATTCTGGCCACCCTAACTGTAAAATATTGCCTCCTGATCTCTAATCTATTCTCCATCAGCTTATTACCATTGTTCCTCATCACCCCAGGTGGTGCTAGGGAGAATAGGGTTCTTCCTATTTGCTGATGATCTCCCCCGATGAGTTTGTAGGCAGCCACCAGGTCCCCCCTCAGCCTCCTCTTGCCGAGGCTGAACAGGTTCAGGTCCCTCAGTCCATTGTATTTAGAATGCCTTTGAATGAAACATTTACAGAATCACTTTTTTACAGTAAAACAATTTCTGTTCTTTTCATAGCTTTTCCTTGAGAAAAGGAAAGTTACATATTATATAAACTTTGTGGGAAAGGACGCGTCTTATAGTTCATGCTTTTACATTATTCAGTATCATATGGCTCTTGATCCTGATTTGGGCCTTTCTGACTCCTAGAATACTACAATGAGTAGTTCTTCATGAATGTTCCCTCAGTTAATTTTGAAAGAGAATTTAAAGAAGTTTTCAAACATTATTACTTAAATGTCATGCTTTCAAAGAGATATGTGTATACCATTCTCTAGGTACCTTTTATAAAAATTAAAAATTTCATATGACAAATGCTTAAAAAATAAAGACAATACTTTACCTTTGGAGTATTTTCTGAGGAGAGACTCTAATTTCACAAGCCTGTTTTGAGAATGCTACATGTTCAGAAGTGTGGAAGTGTTAAGAAATGTAACAAATATTTTAGAATGTCAGGAAAGCACATCACACATTGGCATTTCAATCTTGTAAGGGCACATGGCTATTTTTTTCTTTTTTCCTGCACAGATAATCAGTGACAGATGACTAAAAGCAAGAGCACCATGAATGTAGGGAATTGGGAGACTGAAAAGATGTATTCAGTCATCTTAATCTGATGTTTTGGCATTCCAGATTTGTGACCTACATCACATTTACAAGTACATCACTTTTTCAATGTACTTTTTAATGTATCCAGGTGCTGGGCTTCTACCACTTCACTTGCAGGCTATCCACCACTAAAGTTTTGTCCAGATTACTTTTCATACATTTTTATAATAATCTATTTCTTACTTTCATTATACAGCCTCCAGCTATCACCTTTTACATAATACTAAATAATTACTCTCCCTATTTTGGTATGAACCATTCAAATACTTCTATAGTTATCCTTTTCTCCTCCTCCTCTCAATCACCACATACGTCACAAACTTCCTTATAGGAAAACTGAGTGATAGAATAGGAGAAAGCAAGGGGGCATGATCCCCTCGCCTCCAAAAAGTATCAATGTTAAAGCAAGGGTTTTCAATCTTTTTAGAGTCAAGGCACCCCTCAAAAAATACCCACTCTTAGTTTGCACTCATTTTTTGAATTCAGAAAAATAAGAGCAATTTTTCCATTGCAAAAAGCTCATAAAGGTCACAGCAGGTCAGAATGTTTTTAACACTATGAATCCCTGCTTGAAAGCTCTGGGTTTATCTTGGGATTCATATATGTTAACGTTATGTGGCAGCTCATGAGACCCTGGAAAAGATCTCAAGGCACTCCAGGGTGCCTCAGCACCAGGGAGCTAGGTTTTCTGTTTGCTGTGGAAAAACAGATCTTTTCCTTTAAAGGAAAAAAAAAGTGGATTTTTAAAGGAGATAATGGTAGGAAACCAATTTCTGCCTAGCAGGCTGGCAGACTTCCAGCCTGCAAGGAGCTGCTTGGGGCCAGAGGAAGTGGTGGGGAGGTGACTGGAGGCAGGGAAGATGCTACCCGGGGTGGGAGAGGGCCGTGGTCAGCATGCGAGCCCCAGCCCAGGGCAGGAAGTGGGGGTGCCACAGGCATCTCTCCTTCCTCCAGCCTATGCCGAAGACAGATTCACTCCACCACTGTCCACAAGTCAGAGCTGCCGCAGCTGCCGTGCTCTGGCCTGGTCAATATGGGGGCACCTGTGGGTCCCCTCTGGCAGGGCTGGAAGGGGAAGAGGGTAGTAGGCTGGTAGTGAGGAGCACTGGCAGGACTGGGGAGGCTGTGACTTGGAAGTGAGAGGCACTGGAAGAGGCGGGGGGACTGGGTTGGGAGTACCCGGCCCTGGTAAGACTAGGAGGCTGTAGCTTGGGAATGAGGGGTATCAGCAGCAGTGGGTGGGGGGCTGTGTTGGAAGTGAGGGGCAATGGCATGGGTAGGGCACCAGCATATCAGGGTTGCCAAGCTCTACAAAGCAGTGGGGGGACAGTTGCACCTGGACTCACATCCAGGTGAACAAAAGGGGGCAGGGGGAGCTCTGATTTTCCTTGATTTAAAAAAAAAAGAAATCAAACACCAAAATATACAAGTATTTAGAATTTATTTTATTATAATGACTGAGGCACTGGTAGGCTTTAAAATTGCAAATATCTCAATAAAACATTGTGCTAAATTTATACCTATACATATAGTGGCATTTTATTTTCATCATGGAAAAATGCAGATTTCAGGGGTTTGAATCGGAGAGTTTAAGGTTTTTTACTCAGAGAATTTGCAGTTTTTAAACAGAGAAAACCAGGATCCTTGCTCAGCACTTTAGCTAAGTATTGCTGCATTAAGCAAGCTACCCAACACATAATTTAAGTTATGGAAATAATCAGTTATTCATCTAAATATTTCAGTGCTCCTATAATTCGTACATTCAGTTAGTGACAACTGTCATATAAAAATATCCCTTACATTTCACAAATGACTTTGGATGATGAACAGCACATACTAATTCAACAGGTCCTCACTAATTCTGATAAAAGATATGCAAGTATTGATTAAGGATATGTTGAACAATTCTGATTTCTTAACAAAGGTGTGTGAAATATGGGAAAACTTTTTATATATCACTAACATAGCTAACCAATTGCTTGGCATTAAAACATAATTTAAATTAGATTTTTCCCCCTACAGTTTCAAAACAACAAAAATCTTTGGGAATTAAGAGATTAAGTGTCCATAAATTTGAGTCACCTAGACATTACTGCAAAGTGTATCCTAAATTTTTTTTAAACACCAAACTAGCATTGTTTTTTCTTAAGGAATTAGCCTATCCCAGTTACACAGCCTGTTTCAAATGATTTTTAATACAATTACACAATATAATTTCACAATAATTTTTAATAAAATAACTTAGTTCACCATTTTCTTTCAGCCCCCTTTCGTTAAAGCAAGTACAAAATTGAAAGGACCAAAATTCAAGATACCGTATACACTGTGATGACATTTATGATGATTTGAAAGATTAAATCAATTTACTACAAAGTAAGACAAGTTAACTAATGAAAGATGATGTATAAGCTATCCCTTTTTTTTTAAAACCAGAGCATACTTTTAAAAGAGTATGATCTAAAACTGTATTAAGTGAAAGTTAAGCCTATGCCTTTAAAAATTAATGAGATTTCAAGATCCTAATAATCGTTCTCTTTAAATTGTTTTCTTGTCAAATTTGGATCAGAAAGTAGAAGCTTATTTCAACTGACACTTTAAAAAACTGTTTTAAAAAAGGACTGCTATTCCAATTAAAATCCTTTGCTGATATAAGAGGTTGATGTTTCATTAGTAAAAACCAAACACAACAATAGTAAATTAATTCCATCATGAATATGAACCATGGGTAGGAACTGTACATTGATATAAAATTTTAAGTATGTTTTTGAAATACATTCTACTCTTCAGTTTCTGTTAATTTCTGCAGCAAAGGGAGTTGCATCCAACTGTAGTTGCAGCTCTTTTCTGCTGCACTGACATGCTGAGAAAGTCTCAGGAATCTATTCTGATTTAAGTGCATCTCAAAGACTCTTTCACATATTCTTTCATTTACAGCTTGGCTTTTTCCTTTTCCTGCCCCATCACATCCATACTCTTAGAAAACAACCAATGAGCACCACAACTTATACTCTTAGCCCCTACCACTTTAAAACAGCGGGAGTCCTGAGGTTACCCGAGAATCAAAAGGTCCAATATACCACCTGTTTACTGTCATTCAGCCAACCTGGAGTTAAACATGACCTGCTCTAAATGTCTTAGCAGTTATATTCACAACAAATTCCCCAACAAAAAACCCAGCAAATGTGTTTAAAGTATATATGCACTAATGAAACTCACAATGCAGCTGGTTCTGAAGATCCCTATAGGAACATGCATTACCATAAAGAATTATAATACTTTTTGTATACATGTATACTGCCTTTATTACCTAGTATTTTAGGATGCCTTTTTAAAAAGGAGGGTACTTAATATGACCTGAACTGAAAATGATGCTCCATTGACTGAGCCAAATATTAATGGGAATGAATCCTTACAGAAGAACCTGAAGTTTTACCTCACTTTGGGCACATGTACACAAGATGCTACAGCAATGTACAGCAGGCATAAACCATGCTATGCCACCATAGTGACACGCTCCCTTGCTATAGTGTGTTGCTACAGCGACATACAGGCTAAAAATAACTGCACTGTTGGCACAGTGCAGTAACAGCTATTACTGTGCTGTCATTTAGTACTTCCTTTAATACTTCCTTTACTAAATGACAGTACTTCCTAAAGGAACTACTAAATGATGGTGCTGTAACAATGGTGCCATAGGGGCATGTGTAGATGAGCCCTTTTGTTTCCCAGAAAAGTAAATATTCATATGACTTCTGATACAGAGCTCACAAAAGTAGTTGTGAATAAAGTATTATGTACACTGTTTTGACGCCATTGTGACTTGTGATATACTAGGAGCTCATATATTATGGGGCAGAGACCAGAATTAAAGCTGGAACTACAGCAGGAAAAATTAACTTAGCAGAAAACTCAAGCTCCTTCATGATGAGGCACACTAACAGACAGCTTTAATTCACGTTTACTATTCTCTAGGATTATCAGGAGAGAAGGAGTTCTGCTATATTAAAATAGCAAGTTGGATTTTCTTACAAAATTCGGAAAGAAAACAGCAAAATAGACACAGTGGTTTGGGTATAAAGGTTAGAATTACTTTTACACCCAAATGGTAAAGGTTGCTAGAATCTGACAAGGTATAATACCTGGCTGGAAGTGATACAGAGGGAGTATTGATAAAGGACTGTGTCCTGAATATGCTTGGCTGGAAGCTAGACAATTCAAAGTAGGGACTAGAGTGTGGCGATTACAAACTAGATCTTTTGTCTTATTCCTGACACCTCTCTCTTTTTTAAGAATGTTACAATAGAGGAAAAGTCCTAGTAGCATACGTCTGCTTAGAACAGAAATGAATGTTTTTCCTTTCACAATAGTTGTCTTCTTTTAAAGACAGTCACCTTTTTATAATAAAGGGATGAAGTCTTAATTTTCTCTGCAATAGTGGAAGCACTAACTTAAGCCAAAAACAATCCTTTGCCTACCTCTGCAAAGGCTTCCTATCAAGCCAGCTCTTTCTCCTGCAAGGACCAGATGCAGCAACCTCCAGAATTCATCAGCACATTCTCCAAGCTGATTGAAATGGGTTGCTAAAGATGCAAAGCATTATTTTACTGTTTCTTCTATAAAGTTCTAAACTCCCCATGGCCCAAGATGTTAGCACTGCCACTAGATTGTCAGGCAGGGCCACAAATGAACAACTTTAAATGAACCAAGCATGCTATTACAGTTTGGGCAAATTATTTTGCTATCCCTTCACCAGACATTACCAATGGGATAGTTCCACAAGTGTTCTGCTACAATATGGTTTTCAACATATCAAAATTATCATCAATAAACTCAGTGATTGAACTATGCTTATCAAAGTTCCTGTTTCTCTCCAACAATCACAGTGGAGTCAGAGCTGACAGGAACTTTGTCAGTTCCAACAAAAACAGATTCGAAGGCAGCTTCCTGCTCCTCTAACGTGTCAACAGTGGTGGTTCCTCTAACAGATGATGTGTTGGTAAAAGCTGGCTGTTGTTCTGTCATCCTTTCCACTTCTGCTGTTTTTCTACCTCTTCTTTTACCCAATATTTTGATGTAATTAGCTGGTACAAGTCCTGTTGTCTGACCATCAACACTAGCCAAAAGCCAGCCACGTATTTTAGGCTGTTGTTCTAATAAGAAAATACAACTCATGATTACAAATTTGAGATATGCTATAGTTAAACAGCTAAGACAGAAAAAAATTAGAAATCTCAGCAGACATACAATATCAGATATCTGACTGTGATTCAAAGGTTAGTCTATAGAAATATGGAACACAGATGAGAGACGCTGTTATTTTTCATGCAACTTATTGTTGATTAAAAATGATACGAACAATTAAAAGTGATATTTAAATATAGAGTAGAAGTTTATTTATTAAAATTGTACCACCTATTACTGATGTTTGAGGATGTGTAAACTTGTTATTACACTACAGTTTAGAATCTAAATTAGGAACATCCCTTTCCCATATGAGGTATTTTCTGCACAGGAGAAAAAGCTACTTCGTTAGGATTTTTAAATATCATTCTGTTTTGTAAACAACTAAATGCAATACCCAAAACAAATCAAGGGTTTTATGGCCTAGATGTACAGGAAAATAAATTGGACTTTCCCCCCAAAACTGGTTGGGAGTCGGGGAGCAGGGACATATATTAAGCCTGGCAGCTTCTGAGACAGTAGAAGCACCCAGCTTTGATTTCTGCTGCACAGTGTATTATTGTTCAGACAGCTGAAGGAATTAATTGACTTAATGGCTTATTTTTTTTGCTCCCGATGTGTTACCAACTGTCTCATCTTTTTAATGGTCTTGATATTCAACTAGTCAAGCTAACCCTTGTTAGGGCAATTTTGCTGTCTGCTAGCTGCTCCTGGTCTTTCTCCTATTTCAGAGCTGTTTCTATGCTCTTTTCTTCATCTTTCTTTCCAGAATCATAGACTCACCCACTGGAACCAGTCAGCAGCAGCTAGGGTTTGAGATTTAGTTAAGCAGGAAAGGAAGGATGAGTTAGCTAAAGATTAGGCCCTGTCCTTGCAGCCAGAACTCTAGAAAAGTCTTTTTTTTCTTTATTCTGCTTTTCAAAAATAAGGTGCGTGTTAGGTTCAGGAGTGTGAGTTACATGAGAAAATATGGTACAGGCACTACCCCTGCTTAATGCTATTTCACTTAGCGCTATTTTGCAATAACACTTGTTGACACCCGATTCCACCTAGTGCTCAGTGAGTTTCATTATAATGCTCACAGGAATCATACAGCTGGCAGCAAGTTTCGCTTAATGCTATTCCGGTTAACACTGTTTTTCAGGAACCAATTAAGAGCACTACACGGGGGTTGCCTGTATTTGTATTTATTTACTGGATTCAGTGTGGCATATTTATGCAACAACTATTCTCCTTCAGATGGCATAGTTTTCTCAGTGATTACTGTGTCAAAGTATTCAAACTCTGCTCTCAGATGCATGTGTGCAGATTCCTTTGAAGTCAGGAGGACTCAAACAGATATTAGAATATAGAATACACATCAGCTCATCACATAAGGAATATGCAAATTATGTGAGGGGCATATCTTTGGATAAATGTTTCTAAAGTGCTCTGAAAATGCAAGTGCAGCAAAAGGCAAAAATCCATTTGGGCAGGGGCTCTAGTAATGCAACATGGCCACTAAGATTCTAGTAAGAGTAGAACAATTGGTGAAGGGGCACTGTATAAGTAATGTTAGAACATTCCCCAAAATGAGTGGTCATAACAGCCAAAACCAACTCGATAAAATTGAGTGTACTGCTTAACTAGTGCTTCTGGACAAATCCCTGGAATGCTGTCTCATGTCAGCTGATACAAGCCAAGCCTTGCTCATTTTTTAGAGCTGTCAATGTGACCTTGTTTACAACATCATTAGAAAATAAATACCCAACAAATCAAAACTTTACCTTTGGGGGCTAATTTTAGCATGTCACCAGCATGGAAAGAAATTTCTTCTTCTGAAACCGTGCTGAAGTCGTATTCTGCTTTTCCTACTACATGATCATCTTCTCCACTTGCCCAGTTACTAGACACTGTTTTACACAATAAGCATTAAAAGGCAGTCTAATCTGGATTTTTAACAACTTCTCACATAGGAACAGATTACCTTCCCCAGAGTATATCTATCCTAAATATGACAAACCCCTTCGCATTTGTGTAATACCTACCAACTTAAAAATAAACATTTTTATTGCAGTTTTGTATACTTATGGCACTATACAAGTGACCAACATTTTCAAATTTTGGGTGCTTTAAGTTGGGTCCCCAAATGTGGATTTAGAAGTATAACTGTAAACTATTTTGTTTCAGCAGAGCTGAGCTGTCATCCCAATATCTAGATGAAAATCCTACCCAAGTTTTTTTCCCCACATTCACTAAACCACACTTCATTTGTACAGTGTTCTACTGTAATAACTAGTTGGGCCTCAGTGCTACAGAGGAGTTTCACACAAAAATCTGATTCTGCAGCTATGTGCATGGAGTAGTGGTCAAGCCAGCTCTTTATCTTTATCCTCCTAAACAAAATTTTTGGACAAAGAATGAAAAGGAGCAAACATGGCATGAATGAGGATTCAACAGTAAACTTCCTTCATAACAGAATTATCTATCTCTGTTTAATTCTGCCCTTTTTCCTACCACTTCATAACTGGTTTGTTATAAGAACATTCTGTCATCTCCAATCCCTTTGCTCTGACAATCTCCTTTACCTGTTTCTTCATCGCTGTACGTAGACAGCAGCTTCCAGATGAGATAGGGACCTCCAAGAATAACAGCAAAGAAAAGAAAAATGGGCCACGATTTTGCTGAGCTGGCTGCCCTGTCTTCAGAGGTAATGCAAGCCACTGTTCCTTTGCTTTCAGCCCACAGATCCTCATTCTCAGAGCTCTTCCGCAGACCCAAAAGCCTCTGCAGCCGCCTATAGAAGTATCTTATAGTTCTCACTAACGCAAAAGCTGAGAACACCTTGGTGAAGTGTATTTTCAGTCGGGAGAAGTGATTGGCTACATCCAAAACGGCCCTGAAACTGTTATAAACAGCTGAAAAAGTAGCATCCATCATCATACTGACAGAAGCAAATGCATGTACGATGCTTTCAATAGACTGAAACGCACCTCTGCTGCTCTCTTCAGCTTGCTGAACAAACCTGCTGGGAGGTATATCATCTACACGAAACCGATTATAGCCCAAACCACCATATCCATAACTGTAAGGACTGTAGCTTCCGCAAAAGGAGTTTCCATATGTGCCATAGCTTGGAGAAAAAGAGTTGCTGTATGCAGGCCTGAAAGTGTTCAGGCTGCGGTTTCCTGTTTGCTGTGACGGTCTTGGCAAAATAGGTGGTGCTACTCGTGTAAGCGCAGGCTGTCCAGGCCTGATTGGCAAGCCAGCACTCAAGTCAGCAGACCTAAATAAATTCAGAGATCCAAGATCAGTACACATGCATTACCTTATTGACTACATACACACCCAGCACCAATAAAATACATTAGACATTGGCAGCCAAACAGCGCACATGTTGAACAATGGTTGGGAAATTAAGAGTTTGGCCCATGCTTTTTTATGAAAAAAGCATCATGGGATTGTTTTAACACATGATCAGAGCAGACAGGACCTATCATGTCATCTGAAACCCATGCACTCAGAGAAAATGGTCATGTACGTTGTGTACTAACCCACATAGCATAAAGTACTGAGTCCAGACCTCCAGATCTGTCTAGACCAATGGTGCTCAATCAGCAGCCCATGAGGCCATGTGAGGCCTTATCTTCCAGCCCACAAGGCTCCCCACAAGGTGGAAAGTTTGCTGCTAGGGCAGGGGTGGGCAAAATACAACCCGTGGGCTAGATCCGGCCTGTGGCTGCCCCCACATGGGGCCAAGTCTCATCCGCTCCTGCCAGGGTAGCCTGTGCTAAACTCCTGCTGGCCTGGGCTCCAGCCAGCACGCAATTCCAGTGGGGCTGTTCCTAGTGCAGTTGCAGCTGGCTGGGTGCTGTTGTACTCCTCTTGCCTCCCAGTGACAATGCAAGCCTGGCTGGCTGCAGCCGCACTGGAAACAGCCCCACCAGAAGCTGTGCACTGACCGGGGTCCTGGCTGGGTGCAGGCCAGTGGATGTGGGTTGGATCATAGCACAGGATGCCCCAGGCAGGGCTTGGCCCCATGTGGAGTGCTGCGGGGACAGCTGCTGGCCAGGTGAGCTCTGCTGCATGCTCCCCCCGCACCTCCCCTCACTCCCAGCTGGATCCCATGCAGCCTCCTCCATCCCCTCATGCACACATGCTTCATCCGTACACCCCCTGCCAGCCCTCCCGCTCCTGAACACTACTCCCCGCCCACCCAAAGCCTCATAGAGAGTTTTGGTGAGTTGTTCCATCAGGAGGTGGAGAAGGATGCTGACCCAACCTACAGCAGCTCATCAAAACTCCCTATGTGGCCCTCAAGCCCAAATAATTGCCCACCCCTGTAGTAGGGGGAGTGGTGACAGCTAAGCTTCCAGACCTGTGGGCTGGATAATGTGGCTCTGCCCCCCTATGTGGGGTTGGTCTGTGGGTCGAACCAGGAATGCAGGCTTGCAATTACTCACCAACACTATGCACTGACCCCATGTAGAATCTAGCCTGTGGTCTGGTTTGTGCCACTCCTCCAGCCCATGAAAGTTGGGCACTGCTGGTCTAGATCTATCATATCAAATCTGATGCTTTGAGACTGACTCAATCCTTCTGCCCAGAAGATTATCCCATAAACTTTGCCAAAGGCAACCACAGAATTATGTAGTGGAAAGCCACTACATAAACATACTTCCAAAAAGACAGCTAAAACAGTTTTAGTAGCAGAGGGAGATAGAAAGAAAAAGGCCAAAAAACTCCTTGTCATCTACCTAGTGAGCCCAGGCACCACTCTGTTGTCATATTGATGCAGCAGGACTAGGGATAAAGGTAGCCACTGCTGGCAGAAAAATGAATTACAGAGAAGTGACACCCACCCACCAAAAACAATAGACTTCTGTCCCTTTAAGCACCCTAGGGCTTACAAGGCTGCCTGCCGCCCTGCAGCAGGGCTGGGAACCTGCCCAGGGAGAATCATAGTATCATAGAAAAGTTGGGCTGGCAGGGACCTCCAGAGATCATCTAGACCAGTGGTTCTCAACGTTTTTGTACCAGCACCCATTTGTAAACATTGATGGCCAGTCCTGATCAAGTGTCCCTCACTCCCAACCCACTGGCTGCTTCCCTCAACCCCTGCCAGGCTGCAAGGCAAAAGCCACGGTTTCCCACATTTTTCTCCTTTAAAGTTTCATCATTTTTTAAGTTTGTTCAGAACCCTTTAATATATTCTTGCAACCCACTTTTGGGTTGCAACCCACAGCTTGAGAAACACTGCTCTAGGCCAACTCACCTTCCTGAGGCAGGATCATCTCGATCCAACTCACCCCACGCAAGCCATTATTTAAGCTCTACATAAGATCACTGCCAACCCTGATGCAACACAGACCTAACGCCTAATTTGCCACAGGTAAAGCAAGGGAACCGGCAGCTGGTGTCCTGCTTGTTTGAAAAGTTGTCAACATATGCTCAAGAGGTCCTGGGTACAGGCCCACATCCCCTGCTGCAGAGCAAAGCAAAAACCTCCTCAGTCTGACCAATCTTCCCAGAGCAAGGGGGTGCACTCAATGATCTTTAGAATCCCTTCTAGCCCTTTGTTTCTATGATTCCTATGAATCTGACCATGAGGTAAAACTCCTCCCTGACCTCAAACATGGCAATCGGTCTGACCCGGAGCATGGCTGGCAGTCTTCTTACATCCTCTTACGCACGGTTTAGACTACGGTTTGGACAGAAGCATGCGGCTAGGGCCCCTCTCCTCCTCCTCGTAGCGCCCACAGCCACTGGTTCCCCTCACTTGAGGGAGACTAGGAGACCCCTACACGGGGGCCCCAGCCTCCCGGGAGGGGGGGCCCAGAGCGCCCAGCCGCCCATTGGCCGGCCCCGCCCCCACAACCGTCCTGGAAACCTCGGTCGCGGGGGGAGGGGCGGTGGAACCCTCGCGGAGGGGGAAGGGGCGTTCCGCCCGCGGCGCGGCGCGGCGCAGCACGGCGCAGCACAGCGGCCCTTGCCATGGACTAGACCATTTCACGCGGGGGGGGGGTGGAATTTCTCCAGGGAGGCATAGGTCAGTCCACCCCGCCGCGCCGGGGGGGGGGGGGGGGGGGGAGGGCGCACCCCCTGGAAAG